CTCTCTCTCTCTCTCTCTCTCTCTCTCTCTCTCTCACTCTCTCTCTCTCTCTCTCTCATTCACCCACTCTTTCTCTCTCTCTTCTCTCTCAGCTCTCTTTCTCTCGCTCTCTTTTCATCTCTCTCACTCTCTCTCCCTTTCTTTACCTCTCTCTTTCTGCATTTTGCTGTTTGTAGTCAAAGTCGCTGAGTCATCCTCATTAAGGATTTTACCAGAATAGTAAAGGGGTTAGAAATTAACAGCAGAACTAACTTATCCTAGAACTTGTTTGGACTAGAATGATAGCAAGTGTTAACAAGCTATGGGTCATAGCTGTTTCTTCCTTTCTAAAAGTCTAGGTTTAATGATTTTGCCATTAATTCCTGCGACTATTCCTTAATGAGCTTTTTCTCACTCCTCTGTTCTATATTACGTTCTATTGAACGTATTACTTACTCTAATTCAATATTTTTTTAACACACTTTTTTTTCATTTAACATTTCTGCTTATCGAATAAAGTAATTTAGTAGTGGATTAATAATAGTAAGCCTTAAAAATAAAATTATTAATAATACAAATTACCTTTCTTCACATAAACATCCTGCTCGTCGTTCATAAAATAAAACTTTGATTTAAATCACAGCTTAATCTCAATTCTTAATCGAATAAAAAATTAATGACAAAGTCATTCCTTTATGAAAATTTGAATTTTTTTAACTTATAGATTCGGATTACGGATTATGATAAAATGATGTATCTGTATGCATTAGTCGATGATTTCGAACCAGAAGCGCATTGTGTTTTGGTCCCATTCATGCCATGCACAATATGTGTTAATGTTATGTGCACATTGTCAGGATGCCCATTTGCGAATACAGTGTTAGACAAACCTTCGGAGTTACAAGATAAATAGCCTGTGAAATATTTTTTATTAAAGCCAGTCTTTGATATTTTAAATATTTAAATTCAATAATTTCGTGGTCCGCTTGACCAATTAATATATAACAATTAATTAAGGTTTTTAGTTGAGATAAAAAAGTCAATGGCACGAGCGGTATTTGAACCCACCCCAGAATCCAATCCGATTACACGACATTTGAAAAATGGCAAAAAGGAGGGAAAATTCAAAAAGGTGGGGTTGAGATGGGAAGTTAGTGTCCGAGTGGATCGAGGTCACGATAGCTCATGTGGTTGAGCAGCGGCGTATCTAGCCGAAAATCGTGGGTTCGGATCCCGCTCGTGCCATTGACTTTGTTATCTCAACTAAAAACCTTAATTAATTGTTATATTTAAAATATCGACAATTCATATTAAATATTCATAAGCAAGAAGATCATGTTGTAAATAAGATTGGAAATATGATTAAATTTAAATACTGTGTTATTACAATTTTCGTTGCTTGTATTGCCTAATCCTCGTTATCGACTGTACATTCCATGGTTCAACTGTAACGGGAATACACTTAAAAAAACATTTCGGGATCTCTTCTCAAATATTAGGTAGAATAAAACGCCAGGACATGACAAATATGAAGGTGTATAGCTTATAATACAAACTTTTGGGTGCAAACAAGTTAAATTATTCGGAAGAGTAAACATTGCTTATCGGCTTCGATTAGCCATATTTTCAGAAATCCCATATTCACAAATTCGAACCTACCTATATTTAATATTCAAAGTAAATCACAGTAACATGTTCATTTTTACATTATGTGCTTCGCACTTTTAAAAGTTAAACACGATGCTTTATAAATTGGAATATATTTCACAATAAATCTACCTTATAATTTAACAAACTTATGTTATCAATATTTAATATAAGCAATTTTTGTATAGAACTGTATGTACAGTCGGTGAGATTAACAAGGGAAGGTTATGATGGTGGGAACAAAGATGTTAAATATGCACTTGGTAACGTTAAAAAAAATATTAGGCACTCTGTCAGCCGGCTATCGCACAGATGCAGAGGTAATATAAAGAAGTATCTTAAGACCATTCCTCTACGCAGTACCGCAGATATTGCTACTCTTCCTGAAACGATCCTTATCACTTATGGGATGATACCGCCAACATTTGTTTTCATAAAGCCTGAGAAATCTGCAAATCCATGTCACATCTCTTGAGCACTGGGTCAAATGGAATAGTATCCCTCTCCCACTTGCTGATGCAGTAGGATATACTCAAAGGAGGAGGGCGAAACGTTTCAGACTTCTTAAAAGTTTGCAGACAAACGATAAAAACTCACTCTACAAAATGAACCATTAATTTATATAATTATTTTAAAACCCACTTGGATATAAGGGATCGAACTTTCGAGTTCAACGAATCGTACCAACCTCCAACTCATCCAAAATTCTTTGAACGATCGTTAATGCTGTTCTACGTATCCAATTATACCATTCTCAACAACCATAATATGCAATAAGTCCTTGAATTAGCGAAAACAGTTACAAGAAGTATTATAAGGAAATTATCAAGCGGAGTCGACGGTGGCCGCAACGATGCGTTGACACGGCGCTCATCACTGTAAAGGTCCCAGATTCGGATGCTGGCATACTTATACTTATAAATAGGCTTTTTTCAAAAACACCGGCACTCCGGGTTGAAATACCCTCGTAAAAAACTAAAAACCGCGTCAGAAACCTTCCATTTAACCTTCTTACCTCGCGACCTCCTAAATGACAAGGAAAGTGATTTAAAATCAGTAGTTTCTATCTATTTTCTGTGTATATATTTTTCGTGTTCATTTTGTTTTTTGTAAGATGTTATAAAATTCACACATTAGTGGTAGTTTTATGGTAAATAAAAGAAATAAAGAGAAATAACCAAGTCGCGAGTGCTCACATTTTAGACGAGTATATGTAAGAATTAACGTTTTACCCATAAGAAGCACAATTAATTATAATAAATAATATTACAACTAAAAAAGATAATTATATATTTATAAATTAAAACACGCTAACACAATATATAGGAAAATAGTAAATATTTAAGTTAAAATTTAATATCTCTCTCCTTAATAAAGTTTCAAAGTGAAGCCACTGAAAATGCAGTCCTGAAAGTTGGGTTTTTGCTCTTTTAGGTACACTTATCTTTTCTTTTGTTTCCTCCATTGACTAATTTTTTTAAACTTTTGTCTATTAAGAAGAGAAGAGATTTATGCAATAAAAGTACGACTTTACAATATTGCGACGTTAGAAAAAATTGTCGAAGGTCAACAGTTTTAAAACATTTAACAACAGCTAGTTGTCAAAAGTCAAAAATATTTTCTTCGCTATTTTTCGTCAACTATACATACCATTAAATACATTTTTACTATTACACTATTTACGTATTACATGTTTTACTCACATTATTACTATTAAACATTAATATGTTTATTTATATTAACAATTGTAATAGAAAAGTCTACATTTTCAAAAATAAATTCACAAATTTATAAATATATGTTGTTTCACAAATCAGTATTTTTGGCGTACAATTGGAACATTTTATTTCTAGCGAAAAAAAGACCCACCAAACGGTGTTCGTTGTTCACTTATATCCCTATTTTGTTGTTACTATTCTTTTTTAATTTTCAGGTAAATGTTAAAAATATTTATTAAATTAACGTTATTATTCATTTAAACTTAAACCAAATGTTGTTTATGCACCATTAGGCCAAACAGTCTTTTCAATCCAGTCCAAATAATAAGACACCCTCGTGTAAATTCCTGGTGTGTTGGGCAGAGCGCACTGTTTACCGATAGAGACAACTCCTATTAAGGTTTGTTGACATTGACCTGGTAAAGAGATGAGAAAAGGCCCACCAGAATCACCCTGCACAACAAAATTGATAATATAATATATTGAATACTGGTTTAGGTTGCAAATGTTTCAAATTACTGCAACCTTTAATATAGAATAAAACAGGAACTTGTTCGGAAATATTATTTTTCATGTTGAACCTGAATATTATTGCTAAAAATATTACTTGCTTAAAACGTTTGTACGTTTAAATTTATTCAATTCACATGGTTATTGGCAATTTATTATAATAGAGTATGGAATAGAAAACAATATATTTGGTAGGATCCAAAGACCACATCCCCGATCCTGCTAAATGTATTGGTGAATAACACCTGGTCTATCATCTTTACATCACTGAAATAAAAAAGTTAGTTAACGCACAAGAAAGAGTGAAGGAAAAGAAGAAGGGGGGGTGAAAGAAGAGTGAGAAAAAAGAGAGTAGTGAAAGAATTTGGGAGAATGAGAAAGTGGAAGAAAGCGATAAGGAAATAGTGACAGAGTCGGGGAATGAGAAATAGAGATAAATAAATAAAACGTGTGATATAGCGAGAGAGAGAGAGAGAGAGAGAGAGAGAGAGAGAGAGAGAGAGAGAGAGAGAGAGAGAGGCAGACAGACAGGCAGAAAGATAGCGTGAGATAAATAAAATAGAGAAAGAGAGTGATAGTACGAGTAAGAGAGAGAGAGAGAGAGAGAGAGAGAGAGAGAGAGACAGACAGACAGACAGACAGAAAGATAGCGTGAGATAAATAAAATAGAGAAAGAGAGTGATAGTATGAGTAAGAGAGAATAGGAGAGCCGGGCAGAATATAACACACTGAGAGAGTAAGAGAGATCGATAAATAACAATAGAGATAGGGGTGAGAGGGAAGGAGGGAGAGTGCCAGGGAGAGCGATCGAGCGAGAGAGAGAGTGATAGTGTAACAGTTGGAGAGCGGAAGAGATTAAGGGGGTGAGTGTGATGGATAAATAAAAACAGAGAAAAAGAGATAGTAAAAGTAAAAGAGTGGGAAGTGAGAAAGAAAGAGCGTAATAATGAGAGCGTCGAAGAGAGGAAGAGGTTGAGAAAAGGAGAGTGATAGATAAATTTAAATAGAGTAAGAGAGATAGAAAGAGAGAGAATGAAAGAGTGAGAGAAAAAAGAGAGAGGTAGAGTGGGAGTCGGAGTGTGTAAGAGCCTGGGAGAATGAGAGCGATTGATAAATAACATAGAGAAAGAGAGATAGAATAAGAAAGAGATTTGAAGAATGAAAGAGTGCGAAAGTGAGAAAGAGTGAAAAGTGAGAATGACAGAGTCGGAGAGTGAGAAAGAATGAAAAATTAGAAGAGAAGTATATGTGAGGAAAAGAGAGAGTGAGAAAGTGAAAGGGTAAGAAAGATTAAGAGAGTCGGAGAGGGGAAGTAATTGAGAAAGTGAAAGAGATAGATAAATAAAAATAGATAATTAGGAATAAAGTGAGATTTGGAGAATGAAACAGCGGAAGAGTGAGATATAGGTAAAGATAATTAGAGAGATAGATAGATGCATAGAAAGATAGAAAGATAGATAGAGAGATAGAGATAGAGAGAGAGAGAGAGAGAATATGAAATAGACTGAGAGAGTGAAAGAGATTGAGAGAAAGAAAGAGTAGGAGAATTACAGAGAGAGAAGGAGAGAGAGAAAGAGAGTGAATTGAAAGTAAACGATAATGAGAATGAAATGGTAGAAGAATGATAAAGTAAGTAAAGTGAAAAGAGAGATTGTAGGATCATAAATTATTATTAGATCTTTAATAAGGAAAAGAAATAGGCACAAATGAAGAGAATAAAAGTGAAATATAACCAAACAATGTTTTAATATTTACCAAACAGGCGTCCTTGCCACCGGCAATTTCGCCGGCACAAAGCTGCATCCTGGCGTCAATTCCATTCGGTGTAATCTTCCCTTCTGAGCCAAAAAGCTTTCTACAATTTGCCCCGTCAATCAAGGATAAATCTACTTCTTGCAAAACGGTACTCAATTGGTCAGCTGGAAAGATTAGAGTAAGACATGTTTTTATGTGTTTTATTTCTCAATTAGACTTTAGAGGAGGATTACATCAACATTTTGAAAATCATGGTTAGAGATTTTTTTGAAAATTGTAAAGGTTTAATGTAATAAAAAATCATATTTTACCAAAACCTAGCCTTCCGAAACCGACAACGGTGGCTTTTTCTGCAGGAATATTTTCCTTCGTGTGGAGGCAGACCGGTGCAACCCAGTCGTTAAAGACTACAGCCGTATCCATAACGGCGATCGCGATGTCGTGGTAAGCGATGGGATTTTTATAATTCGGATGGCTTATCCAGGCCTCTACGTTTCGGTCCTGTGGTCTTGCATCGTCGGTGTCGGTGGAGTAATCTAGCTCACCAACCCGAACCCATTTCGGCTTGCCTCTGAATATCAAATGTAAAAAATCAAAAGGCGGTTCGAAATGACATGACTAGTAATTACAGAGTGCTATGTGCGCAGTGAGCGGCCGACAGGACGTGACGGTTTGTGATCAAGGTGCCGCCGCAACTCCACCGGACAAGTCGTTTGGTTTTCCCAAAGCCCAAAATCGCCTGAAACAAAGTTAATGTGATTTAAGAAAATGACTACTTAAATATCTGCTTTCATCCTTTGATTTGAGGTACTATATAACTATATAAATAGGTAAAGATTTTTTTAAATTTTTACTTTTTAATTTTTTAAGAGTGTTGTAAATAACTTTTCAGTTATTGTCATGAGAATGAGAAAATGAAAGAGTGGGAGAGTGATCGGGAGAGAAAAAGCGATTGTTGGATGAGCCGGGTGAGTGAGCATGAGATTGATAGATTCGCAGAGTGAGAGATCGTGAGAAAGTGTGATAAATAAAAAATTGAAAAGAGAGATTGAGTAAGAGAGAAAGATATATACAAATAGATTTAAGTAGTTAGTTAAGTATACATAATACTTTTTTTTTTACGGGGAGTGCATTTAATTTTAGCATTTGAATCACTTAAAATTACTTGAAAAGCATAAATTGGTTATTGACTTTTTTAATTTCGCCAGACGTTTAACACTAAAAAAAATGGTCCTATTGGCTTTCGTATTTTCATTTTTCAAGGTACAAAATATTACACTCATTTTATACTAATTTGGTCGAGAGAAGAACATAAAATATTCTTCGATTAAAAACTTAAAAGCACATTGTCGACACTGACAGATAGTGACAGGGACATACTGTATAACAATACTGTTTAGCAACTATTACGTGTTAAAGAGAAATGAACCTCCATTAATCACTTCTAAGAGGGAGCCGTCGGCCAAATAAGATCATGTTAAACATTCCCATAAGGGAACTGAAGGAGAATCCTGAACTACAAATAAAGCCGAAAAAGTTTTTAGTAAATAATATTTACGAAGGCAGCTTTTAATTGTGGTACAATTTTTTCAGTAATTATTGTCTGACTTGTAACATTACTGATTTGTAACATTTAGTTTTATGTTTCTGATCGTTTATTAAATTATTTCACTAACCATTCCCTTGTATTTTCTCGCTTGAGCGTCCTTTCCGCCGACAACGGTCGTGTGGAAATCCGTGTTGTTGACGGAAGGTTCGGTCAGGATATCTTCCAAATTTGGGATGTCCTGGCGCCTTACTCTTGGGAATAAATTGATCTTCTCGTAGACCGGCCTGGGCTGGCAAAAACTCGCCAACGATTTGCACACTTAAAAGAAGAAACAAATTGTGAAAACAAGAACAATTAATAAATAAAAAACTAAATACTTTTTTCTGAAGGTCTTAAAGTGTTTTGTGAATTTTGTAAAGGCTTTGGACTGCAGCATATGACAGGTGTGAAATCACTGAAACTGCAAATTGGCGGCCGCGTCTTCTTAAAATTTATATGTTTACAGTTGTTTGGAAGGGTGCACTTTCCAGTCATACCATTTATGGTGCATTCATCTCCTGCAAAGTGGTTCAACAAATTACAAGTGTGGGAAACCAATTATATTAAACATAGTTAAAATGAACATAAAACTGCAAAATATGTTTTCATAGGTTTTCAAGCTGATATACAACCAAGTAATGGCAATCGACAAACATATTTTATATAAATAAGCATATAGAAAGCAAACAGAAAACAAAAGCAGAAATTTTGAGATGTAGCGGTATTTTTAGACAAACATTGTGGTCGTTTTAAACAGATTATGAAACCTTTAAGGTGGCCATTCACAATCACTCCAAATGGATCCGCGCCAAGCAGTACAGCTCCATTTGGAGTGCTTGAAATTTGAGGGGGCATTCACTACCGCTCCGAACGTCAACCAGTGAATTGATTCTCTCCTTCTCAAAATGGATGACGATCTCTTGTGCTACTCTTCTATTTATTTACATATTAAAAGCAAAAAATCGAAGAGGAAATGGTGTAAGAAGTGGCTCCTGAACAGGAGCCGTAATACCCACATCAATTTGATGAAAGATCTTTCCCTTGAACCCGCTGATTGGAGGAACTATTTAAGGATGGATGAAACGTCTTTTTTATTCATTATATTTAGTGTTCTATTGACCAACTTACTTCTTTCAATTATTTAATCTTTTTTGTAAGGTTTTGGTTGAAATGAAAAAGCTAGTGCCACGAGCGGGATCTGAATCCATGGCCTTCGGCTAAATACGCCGCTGCTCTACCACTTGAGCTATCGATCCTCTCCGACACCAAAAAATGGCAAAAAGAGAGAAAATTCGAAAGGTTGTAGGTTGAGATGGGGAGTTGGTGCCCGAGTGGATCGAACTATCGAAGTCAGGATACCTCAAGTGGTTAGCGCAGCGGCGTATTTAGCAATATGTCGTGGATTCGAATCCCCTCGTGACACTATTTTTCATTTCAACCAAAACCTTACAAAAAAAAAGATTAACGTCTTATTTATATCACTCCAGCTTGTTACCCCCTTGATTAGAAAACAATAGACAGTCATGAGAGAAATCATCACTACATGAAAGGTTGGCAAAGGTTGGTTATGATTTCTCGCTGCAGGGATGAACTACAAATAACTTAAGTTCTCTACTACGATTTCTGATCATTGTTAGGGGTTATCAATACCGCATCTCTCATTGCATTTGTATCCTTTGTTTTGAAAACGTCGACCAACTGGTTGAGGATCGAATTTCTTTTATTTCTGTCGTGGTAATATAATCATTGTCCACCAATGTTTATAAACATAGTAACAGTTCATAAACATGGTAAACTTTCATACAATTCAATCACCTCAACAGTAAAATCTCGATTGGATGACATTACCAATAAAGAATAAACGTTTTTGACTTTTTGAGAATGTATGAAAAAGATATTTGCTCAGTGACAGAAAGACGGAGACTGCGCCAAAAAACGAGGTTTTTCCCATTCACGACCAGGCCAGCGCGCCAAAATCCCCACCCTCCACGCCAGGTTTTCCCATTCACGAACGCGCCATGCCGTCGTCGCGCCGTAGATATTTGGAGTGGCGCGATGGAGTTTGGACCGGTCGAATATTCGGCACAGCTGGGCACGCCAGTTCAGTTTTGCCATTGACGTGGTTTTTGGAACTGCGTCGCTCCGTTTAGACTGCTTGGAGCGATCGTGATTATCGCCACCTTTACATACGAATTTTAAACAAGAAGAAAGTATACATTGGCGGGGTAATTTTTTCTGTCTGGTGGTGAATTAAAAAATCATAAATCTTCTGGATATTATTCATTGTCCAAGGTATTACAAATATTGGAGAGCGGGTCCTTCCTTGTATTAGTCAAAGGCAACCAAAACGTTTCAAATTCAACAATAGAAATAGATGGATAAATAGAAAAGAAACAGAGAGAGGGAGAGAGATTTAATCCAATGTCCTCGATATTATACTGGAAGTGGAATCTTAAATTTTGTCTCATCATAACTGAGAAATATAAGGATGACATCAACAAAAACGTCTCAAACATTAATGTATAAATGCTCAAACTCACAAACCAATGTCAAAATATTACAATTGATGTAAAGTGATATCTTACATTTTGTCTCATCATAAGTAAGAAAGATAAAGATGAGATCACAAAAACGTCTCAAACATTAATGTATAAATGCTCAAACTCATATACCAATGTCAGAATATTTCAATTGATGTAAAGTGGTATCTTACATTTTGTCTCATTATAATTGAGAAAGTTTAAGATGACATCACAAAAACTCTCAAACATCTATCAATCCTCAAACTGAAAAATAGAGATATATAAGTAAATTGAAATAATGTGTGTGTGTGTGTGTGTGTGTGTGTGTGTGTGTGTGTGTGTGTGTGTGTGTGTGTGAGAGAGAGAGAGAGAGAGAGAGAGAGAGAGAGAGAGATATTTTATCCAATGCCCAGTATTTTACAACCACTGAAGAGTGCAATCACTTTCTATCAATCTGTGTCAACTGTTTTGATTTTATGCCATTGTAAGTACGACGATGAGTATGAAATCAACAAAAATCTAGCAAAATTTTTACTTTATATATCCGATTGTAATCTGATTGGCGCTTTTGTGATATACGTAAAGGTAAAACTAAGTTCAGCGTTAATAAAGTTTAGAAGTAGTGACTACTGGGCTAACCGAAAAAGAAGATCGACGGCTAAAAATTTTTAAAATAAATAGCGGTTCTTTTCTCTGTTCACACAGTCTAGATGACGGGAGGTTTAACTATTTCTGAGAGAGAAATATTTAGCGATGTATGTGGTGTTAAATTACAATAAAAAATTACACATTACATTAAAATCTATCCTCACATCCTAACCCAATAGGACGATCCATGTCCAAAATTACCCCACTCTTCAACCCAGTAGGGCGAATGAAGAGGAGATTGCCCCAGGGCCTAATTACCAATGGTATTATTCAGACAGCTGGGAGAGTAACAATGGTTGCTCAACCCCTCAGGATATACATAAACGATAATATCGTATTTTATCTCATTAGATACATAATATATATATATGTATATGTATAAAAGCTATTGAATAATTATTTATTACCGATTTTTCTTAGAAAAGTAATCAGGGACTTCTATTTATTATATCCCGTCTAACCTGAAATGTACGCTTGATGGGAAAACCGAGTTCCTTCGTTCGTTTCCTGGAAAAACTGGTTTTCCAATTTTATTAGATAGCAAATTGCAAATAGGCAAAATAATTTCATGAACGGTGCATTTTTTTGTATTGTTTATATTAAAGTTAAATTTCAAGTGGATGACAGGGGGCGTGTGTAAATAATAACTTCATGCTTTTATTGTTATAGATTAAATAAATCCCCATATTCATAACTGTTTTGAGGTAATATATAAAATAATTAAACATTATAATTAAATTTTCGATATTTCATTATGAAACATAAGATGGCATAAGGGAAAAGGAAGAGAAATACTGTGATGTATATGTGCCTGCTATAACTTCACTTTCATAAATAAACGAATATCCTGGTAGTTCATAAATTTTTGAAAATTTAAGTCGGGAACGACTACTCTCACATTTAACGAGATAGATTTGATAGTGTTATTTTTTCACGCAAATTACGTCTTATATGGGACCTCTCTTGCATCCATCGTGTATCGACTTCTTCATCCGCCCTGAAAGAGAGAAAGAAAAAGAGAGAGAGAGAGAGAGAGAGAATGAGGGAGGGAGAGAGAGGAATGGGGTGATACCGGAAATTAAGGTCAATAGCAGTGTAAACCATTTCCTTTGTTTTTTCGATAGCAAAAAGAAAGTGTAAAATATACATTTTCATTCCTTTTTAACTTTGGTAGGTGATGGCTGCTGATGTATTGGATAATATTGGATAAACATTTATATATATATNTATATTGTATATATAATTGGTACAAATAGTATTGAAATTACTAAAAAGAGAAAAACCTATGTTAATTAGGAGTTTTTACCTTTATTACACTTTTTTAAGCTTTTGATGTATGAATTGCACATTTGAGGGTTTTTATTTTCAAAAAATCTGGTGTCTACTGTCAAGTCTGTAACATCTCTTTTTGAGATAAATTTGGAGTAAAACATACTTTTAACTACTAAACCATGTGACACATGAGGGGTCATTATTTAGTGACTAATATGTTTAATGTAATTGATAAATCTTGTATTTAAATAACGGTATAAAAGGTAAAACAATATGTTTAGTTTTGAGGTTGAACTTCCATGAGGACGTCTATAAATCGAACAGAGGTCATGATTCCAAACCGATTCTCTAACATGCGGGAATGCTACTTATCAGAAATGAACGCCTTATTTAACAACGATCTCCGACACAATGCTGAGTTTGTAAATGTCATTTCCTTCATTTCTGCGTTATCATAGCTGTTGAAAACCAGGTACTTATATGAAAAACTGTTTTCATGTAAAAAAAAAACTCCTGATAATAATTTCTAACCTATTTACAGTTTACTAACTAATAAAATCGGAATGTTCATTTTTGCACGAGGTGAACGTAGGAACACTGTTTTCCTGTCGAAGCAAGTGGATATTACAGAGTTGGCAGGATAGGATAAAATTAAGTGCTTACTTACATTCATATTACTGAACGGTAACAGAATAATATTATTCTGTATCTGTTACAGATTTGCAGCTATATACGTACATATATATACTAGTGGTCACGTATCCGACATCGTGGAGTGTCAGACAATAATAAGAAGTATTAATTCACGACTTTCGAGGTCCGCTTGACCAATTACTACATGACAATTAATTAAGGTTTTTAGTTGAAATGAAAAACAGTTAAAAGTGAGGGATTGGAACCCACGATCTTCGGCTAGATACGCCGCTGCTCTACCACTTGAGCTATCGTGACCTCGATCCCCTCGGACATCAACTTCCTATCCCAACCCCACCTTGTGAGTTTTCCCTCCTTTTGCCATTTTTCAAATGTCATGTAATCGGTTTTGATTCTCGACGACAATTGAAATGGCGACGGAGAGCTTTACTGAAGTATACTTCATTTTTTAAATCATTAATTCACTACTTTCGTGGTCCGCTTGACCAATTACTACGTGACAATTAATTAAGGTTTTTAGTTCAGATGAAAAAAAGTTAATGGCACGAGCGGGATTCGAATAAGAAGTATGTACGTTGTCAGACAGATTTCTGGAATGTTTTGAATGTAAGCAGTAGAAAAATAATATTGTATATTGTAAAACTAATTCTATAAATATCCTATTATTTTCAGGAATTTAAAAAAAATTCCTCTAGGTAAATTTCTCCTACAGCGGGAGAGGGAGAGGTAACGTCCCGTTACAGCGTCTCCCACGCACGTACACACACACACACACACACAGAGATATTTAATGGAAAAGCATAATATATATTTCCAAAACAATAATTTTATTTGTTTACACATTTCCATACATTTATAAATGTCTAAATTTCATTATAAATAATTTAAAATCAAAGTAGTTTGACATTCTCATTCATTGTTATTTATATAGATAAACGTTGTCTTATACTATTTAAACCAGTATTAAAAAGTAAAATTATATTTGTTTTATAATCATACATATCATGCATCATACATATACATACAATATCATGCTACGCTTCATGTTGTCAAATATTTAGTAATATCAAAAATTAAGTGTTGATCAAGGTTATAAAGTAGATCATATCAATATTTCCTATCATCAATATTTCATAATATTCATATTATAAGTAATTATAATTTTAAAGCCCGAAACAGTCTACTTAAAAAATATATTATACAAAATGTATATTTTATATTTTCATGTTTATATTTGTATTGACATTACGTGGTGTAAAGTTCCAAGACAACTATATCTGATAAAAATAAGTCAAATATCATGTCTTTTTGCCTCCTCTCTTTTCGAGGTTATGACCTCTCTCTCTCCTTCATTCTGTTTTTCTGCTTTTGTTTATCTGTCTCTTTCCTTTGTTTAGCTCGTTTGATATATTGTTGTTTCGGTCCAACGGTCACACTCAATCACACACAATCTCTCTCAGAGAGAGAGAGAGAGAGAGAGAGAGAGAGAGAGAGAGAGAGAGAGAGAGAGAGAGAGAGGGAGAGAGAGAGAGAGGAAGAGAGAGAGAGAAAGAAAGAGTACTATGTATAGACACCCTTCTCTGTCCTTCTTTCTTTTTGTCTGTTAGTCTCTTTCTTTGCCGTTTACTAACTACATCTCTATCTACGAGCTTATATATCTTCCTATCTATCTCGTTGTTAGATTGGTTAGACGTTATGATATCCACGCCCAACTGTATAATATATAATATCTAACATTCTGTTTTTTGGATGAGTGTTTTAGGAGGATACGTTTTGTCTCACGAAAAATGTTATTTTTAATAATTTTTTAATTCTAATTATATTGATATTTTTTAAGAGGAGTACTAACCGAAGTACACGTTCTTTACTTGTTACTAGCCTTGTCGGACGAGAAGGTCGTCGTCGACGGAAGACAACGGCCTAGCAATTTTGATACTTCAACAGATCAACAATCTACGCACAACACGAAACATAAAGAAGAAAAATAAACATGACAATACTTCACTGGAAATAATTTTTTAAGCAGCCAATCATGGTCATATTATTATTTTTTTTTACTTTTTTATTATTTATTTTTCTCCTTGTATAAGATCAATGAATCGACGGTTCGGCCCCGTAGGGCGGAGAAATGAGCTTTTAATACTTTGCTTTAAACAAGTTTATTCATTCACTCACTCCAAAGACGTTTATAAGTTGTTATCTCTCCTAAGGATGTAGGTTTAACAAGTAAGTACTTGATAAACAAGTTTCACCGGTTCCCGCTGAAATCGATATTACAACTTCTTTCTAACCATTAAACGATTTCGATAATATTAATCTTTTTTAAATTATATGCACTTATCGGCACATAAAGCTGATACATTAATGAAAATATGAAAATTCTGAAAATAATATTTTTCTACGAACTAATAGTAAAAGTAGTCAACTGTCTGCTTGACAAGTAAATACTATCCTATTCATTTATGCCAAGTCGTCAACATCATCAGTATTTTATAAGTTTAGGATGTCAAAATATTACAATAATAACCTTACTTTACGTAGTTCTCACATAAAAGTATAAATTCCCATGTCGAAATCTAATTACCTTCATCCAATTTGAGAATGCCCTGGGAGCTGACTGAGGATAAAAAGTGCAAGGCCAAGACGGCGAATGTAAAGAATGCTGAAAACATGTTCGCGGTCGAAGAGTTGAACGACGACTAATACCTTCTACAAGCAACTCCTCTGGTGATGTCACGTTTCTAGATTGCGGAAAACCAGTTTTTAGACTCTGGAAAAAAATCCAGTTTAAAGCTCCAACGACGTAACTACGATTATTATTTACTTTATTTGCGAAATACGGGGTGGTAAAACCAAATTTAGACCCCAGGACATTTTCTCGGTTACTAAGAGGAAGTTTAAAATTCCAAAGCGTAATTATTATTTGTCTATTATTATTCCTTTCTTTCTTCAAAAAATTAAATTATTAAAATTAAAAATAAGCTTATATTAAAAACTATTGTTATTCGGTTCTACTAGGTTATGTAGCTTTTGAAAAACTAGGGATGCAATTAATAAATTAACAACCGGTTTATACCAAAAAAGCGCGTTAATGATAAAACCAACTTTTTTTAAAGCTAATTTGCTTTTTACTTAGGAGATCAAGATTTGCAGTATATTTATCTATATAATTTTTTATTAAAAAATCGCAACTGAACGTCCTTATTTTTCTACAAGGACAATAACTTTTGACTAACTTTTTAATAAAGTTAGTTTCCCGTATACATAATTTCAGTTATACTAATAGTTTCATTAAAAGTTGTAATCAAAACGATATAAGATATTTTGTTATCCCAATATTTATAACCGCCATAAGTAATAAATTAAACAATTAAACGATAAACTACAAATTTTAAAGTTAGATTTGATTACAAAAAATAAAAATTAATGAAAAAGAGAAAAAATTGAGAAAGTGAGAAAGTAATTAAGATTCTCTCCAAGAAGTATCCAAGAAACAGATATATATACAGACGGATAGGTAGTCAGGTAGGTAGATAGATAGATAATAGATAGACAGGTAGATAGATAGATAGATAGACAAGTAGACAGATAGATAGATATATAGACAAGTAGATAGATAGATAGACAAGTAGACAGATAGATAGATATATAGACAAGTAGATAGATAGATAGATAGATAGATAGATAAACAGACAAGTAGATAGATAGATAGTTAGGTATGTAGATAGATAGACAGGTAGATAGACAGATAGACATGTAGCCAGATAGATAGATTGATAGACAGACAAGTAGATAGATAGATATGTAGATAGATAGACAGGTAGATAGATAAATAGATAGACAAGTAGACAGATAGATAGATATATAGACAGGTAGATAGATAAATAGATAGACAGGTGGATAGATAGATAGACATGAAGATAGATATATAGACATGTAGATAGATAGATAGATAGATAGATAGATAGTTAAGTATGTAGATAGATAGACAGGTAGATAGATAAATAGATAGATAAGTAGACAGATAGATACATATATAGACAGGTAGATAGATAAATAGATAGACATGTAGATAGATAGATAGATAGATAGATAGACAAGTAGACAGATAGTTAGATAGATTGATAAATAGACAAGTAGATAGATAGTTCAGTATGTAGATATATAGACAGGTAGATAGATAAATAGATAGACAGGTGGATAGATAGATAGATAGGTAGATAGATAAATAGATAGACATGTAGATAGATAGATAGATAGATAGATAGATAAATAGACAAGTAGACAGATAGATAGTTTGATAAATAGACAAGTAGATAGATAGGTAGTTAAGTATGTAGATATATAGACAGGCAGATAGATAAATAGGTAGACAGGTGGATAGATAGATAGACATGTAGATAGATATATAGACATGTAGATAGATAGATAGATAGATAGATAGATAGATAGATAGATAGATAGATAGATAGATAGATAGATAGATAGATATATAGACATGTAGATAGATAAATAGATAGATAGATAGATTCATAGATAGATAGATAAATACATAGATAGTTAGGTATGTAGATAGATAGACAGGTAGATGGATAGACGGGTAGATGATAGACAGATGCAACAGAGACAGAGGTAGAGAAAGAATGAGAGAGTGACGGTTTTGATCGATTTACATTTAATAGTGGTTAAACAGTTACAGGTTAAAGTGACTTTGGTGTTCACAGAGAGAAAAGAAAAAGAGAGAGAATCAGATTGATGTGATGGAAGAAAAGTGAGGAAGAATTTTCGGAAGGTAAAATTATTTTCCAACAAGATAGATCGCCACCAGCGTCACATAAGCGACTTTTAGATGTCCGTTTCCCTTCGAAATGGATAGGTAGACGATGTTTCATCGAACGGCCAACGCGATCTCCAGATCTAGCACGGTTAGATTGTTTGTGGGGGACACACTCAAACAATCTGGAAGATTTTAAGGAAAAGATCAAAAAAGGTTGTAGAAGCATAACACTTTCTGCATACTTTCCGAGCGAACTGAATGCCATTGTAGGATTTTGCTTTGTATGGCGATCGGTGATACCCTTTTTGAAAATTTAATTTACTAGGATTAACTTCATAAAGTTACTAGGAGGTTTGAATAAGTAATTAGTAATTAACTTAAATTTATTACGAGGTAAATGAATGACGATAGATAGTTAATTAACCTTAATAACTCTTACTCTACAAGAAAAGTACCCGAAATAAAATCTTCTTTTACGTCATAAAATTTAATTTCTTTTTTAAAATGATACCTTCCGATTTTAAAAAAAAGTTGTTGAGCCCTGGATACCTACAGAGAAAACAATTTTTGACTTAAAATTCAGATTGTATGTACTTACAATTATGTAAATACCAGTCTTATTTTTTAAATATTTCCAAACAAAAGAAATAAAAGTGGTAGTTTATGCATAATCATCTGGTATATCTAGCATTTAATACTGCAACCAGAAGAGCGCAAGAGAGATCAGTAAAGTTTTAACAGCTATTGAATAATTAGTTATTACCGATTTTTCTTAGGAAAGTAATCAGGGACTTCTATTTATCATATCCCGTCTAACCTGAAATGTACGCTTGATGGGAAAACCGAGTTCCTTCGGTCGTTTCCTGGAAAAACTGGTTTTCCAATTTTATTAGATAGCAAATTGCAAATAGGCAGAATAATTTCATGAACAGTGCATTTTTTGTACTATTTATATTAAGGTTAAATTTCAAGTGAATGACATGGGGAGTGTGTAAATAATAACTCCATGTGTTTATTATTATAGATTATATTAATTCCGATATTCATAACTGTTTTGAGGTAATATATAAAATAATTAAACATTACATAATATAAGGGAAAAGGGAGAGAAATACTGATGTGTGCCTGCTAAAACTTCTCTTTCATAAATAAACGAATATCATGGTAGTTCATAAAATTTAGAAAATTTAAGTCGGTAACGACTACACTTACATTTAACGAGATAGATTTGATAGCGTTATTTTGCCACGCAAATTACCTCTTATACGGTACCTCTCTTGCATTCAACGAGTATCGACTTTGATTTTTTCATACGCCCTGAAAGAGAGAAAGAGAGAGAGAGAGAGTGAGAGAGAGAGAGAGAGAAAGAGAGAGACAGAGAGAGAGAGAGAGAGTGTGAGAGAGAGAGAAAGAGAGAGACAGAGAGATAGAGAGAGAGAGAGAGAGTGTGTGTGTGAGAGAGATTGAGTGGGAAAATGAAAATGAATGAATATTGTTCTATTGTAAAATCTCACAAATTTAGGTCGTATACAAATTCTGTTCAGATAAACGAGAAGAGAGAGCGAGCGAGAGAAAGGAATGGGGTGATACCGGAAATTAAGTTCAATCGCCGTGTAAACCATTTCCTTTGTTTGTTCGATAGCAAAAAGAAAGTGTAAAATATACATTTTCATTCCTTTTTAACTTTGGTAGGTGATGGCAGCTGATGTATTGGATAACACCATTTATTTTACATTTTACAAAATTGGTCATTATACTTCAAACATTAATATTGATCAAACAAGGGAGAAAGGTTTTTTAAGTTTCCGCTAATTAAAATACAACAATGCACGAAAGAGAAAATAATGGGATTAAAATATTATAAAGACGGATTATTTATAACTTTTATAAATTTATAAAAAATTAGCGTTGTAAAGAAAATATTGTTTAATTGAACAAGCCCACATTATACGTGTGAATACAATGTGTTTTTTAAATTTATAATCAAATTCTTTTTTCAGTTTGAAGTAATTTTGTACTTTAATAATTACAAAAGAAAAACAGAGAAACGTTGTAATTATACTTATATTCTAAATTATCTTGATTTACACCATAAAGTCAGTAGTCATTTCTCTTTTCCGTCAAGGCGATTCGACTTTGTTTCTTTATTTTATTAGACTAATCAACCTGACATTCAATTTAACGCCTGATGCAAGGAACTTGATCCTTTTATTCCGTCCATTTTAGTACAGCTTTCTCGTGAATGAGGGCATCCTTTCGCTGAAACTTTTTCCCTAGTTTGATTAGTGTTCAACACTAATGAGCACTACGGTAGGATTTCCACTTGGGAGTAATAAATAAATGAATTACATGATTTTAATTGGGTTTATTATATTATTTTAGTGATAGTGCTTTTTTAGAACATATTGAACATTAATTGAAACTAAAAACAGGCATGTGTATTTTTCACAATTTAGAAGACACCGTCTTTAAAGCGAGAAAGCAAGAAAATGATTCTTGTACACTCTGAAACAAAAAAATTAAGACAGTTTGAATCAATCGATAATTTTATAATTAATTAATTTACATTCAAGTATGTCTTTAAAGATGCCGTGTAGACCCCTAATTTGTTCATGGTGACACTCTTATTTGCCATTTGCAACATTAGAACCATGCTCTTTTTTATTTTCAAGTCTGACTCGTACCAAGTGTTGTCACATACAGCGACAGCTATTTTGTCCATCTGAAATTAAAATGGTTAAACTGTGTAAAATTACCAATTATTAAACTGACAATGTCCGTCATTCTTTCGCCTGCTTGGCAGTAGATGAAGAGTTGCACGTAAGCCGAGCAGAGAATCGGAACAAGGCTTGTAATCACAAACATTATGTTGCCGACCTTGAAAAAAAATCATATAATATAAATTGTGAAATATATCAGGTTCATACTTTTAGCGCTGAGAAGGCGATGACACAAGCGTGCACGATCGTATAAGTGACCTGGCACATGAAAAGTACGCGAAACGCTGATTGGACATATCCCATAGATCTGAAAAAAAATTTACAATCTCGGCAAAATTTTATGAAACTAGGCTTACTTTAAGATATTGATGTGTATGTTCACGCCTTCCTTGAATTTTTTGTATTCATATTTATTTTTGCCTAAGGTTTCTAGAAGTGAGACAAGCCTCGTCCCTTGATATGCCATGTAAGTCACCAACATTGGGAAAGACGTATCCACAGCGGAATGAGCGCTTACGCAGTAGCCAATTACCATGAGTTTCTGCACAAAAGCTGAACTTTCATTCGTCAAAATGGATTCGAAAAGTCACATTTAATTCATACCGAGGAGCAGAAAAAATATCTTTGGCCTAGGGGTCTCAAATGGCCAGTAGCACACGTATGGAGAACCTGTATGTATGCTGTTGAAAAATGCCCAGCCGCATCCGGTAGTCAGCAACAGCACTATTCATGAAAGCAAGAATGTAGAAAGAAATGATCAAGCACTAAATTACAAATATAATCTTGTCATCTTTACACACGCCTCTATAATTTGAAGTGTCTAGACAAGAGTACTATCATTCTACCCCGACATTTTTGTTTGCATGTCTTAATAAACATAGGACTTTTTGTCTTATGAATCGTTTTTCATGTCCCTCCGGACTTGGCTTCTCGTGCCGGCAGAGAATACGTTCCGTTCTTTCATCTTCTCACTAGTGTTTCCCAGGATTAATTCTGTTTTTTCAATTCTGGGCCTTCAATATTTTGTGTATACAATGACTCCGGTGTATGGAGCGTTGAGTCAGCAGTTTACGTCCTAATCTCTAGGTTAAGAAATGAACGTTTCATCCAAATAGTAATTATTCTTAAGCTATTGATTTATGAATCTACGTTTTTAGCAATTTCGAATGCCGCAAAAGGGTTCAGCGCTGATATCTTTCCTGACGGATATATGGTTTAATGTCCATAATTGTCTAAAGTTTGTTAGGCTTAAGAGCCTAGAGGACACGTTACGTTCTACCTTCTTTTTTCTGGCAGAATCTGTACAAGATTCATTCTACGTTTCCGTGTCTGTACATATGCGACTGGACTATGAAGTGTCCAGTCAGCAGTCTTAAGGTGGCCATTCACGATCGCTCCAAGCAGTCCAAACGGAGCGACGCCGTTCCAAAAACCACGTCAATGGCAAAACTGAAATGGCGTGCCCGGCTGTGCCGAATATTCGACCGGTCCAAACTCCATCGCGCCGCTCCAAATATCTACGGCGCAACGACGGCATGGCGCGTTCGTGAATGGGAAAACCTGGCGTGGAGGGTGGGGATTTTGGCGCGCTGGCCTGGTCGTGAATGGGAAAAAACTCGTTTTTTGGCGCAGTCTCCGTCTTTCTGTCACTGAGCAAATATCTTTTTCATACATTCTCAAAAAGTCAAAAACGTTTATTCTTTATTGGTAATGTCATCCAATCGAGATTTTACTGTTGAGGTGATTGAATTGTATGAAAGTTTACCATGTTTATGAACTGTTACTATGTTTATAAACATTGGTGGACAATGATTATATTACCACGACAGAAATAAAAGAAATTCGATCCTCAACCAGTTGGTCGACGTTTTCAAAACAAAGGATACAAATGCAATGAGAGATGCGGTATTGATAACCCCTAACAATCATCAGAAATCGTAGTAGAGAACTTAAGTTATTTGTAGTTCATCCCTGTAGCGAGAAATCGTAACCAACCTTTGCCAACCTATCATGTAGTGAGGATTTCTCTCATGACTGTCTTTTGTTTTCTAATCAAGGGGGTAACAAGCTGGAGTAATATAAATAAGACGTTAATCTTTTTTTTTTTTTTGTAAGGTTTTGGTTGAAATGAAAAATAGTGTCACGAGGGGATTCGAATCCACGACATACTGCTAAATACGCCGCTGCGCTAACCACTTGAGGTATCCTGACTTCGATAGTTCGATCCACTCGGGCACCAACTCCCCATCTCAACCTACAACCTTTCGAATTTTCTCTCTTTTTGCCATTTTTTGGTGTCGGAGAGGATCGATAGCTCAAGTGGTAGAGCAGCGGCGTATTTAGCCGAAGGCCATGGATTCAGATCCCGCTCGTGGCACTAGCTTTTTCATTTCAACCAAAACCTTACAAAAAAGATTAAATAATTGAAAGAAGTAAGTTGGTCAATAGAACACTAAATATAATGAATAAAAAAGACGTTTCATCCATCCTTAAATAGTTCCTCCAATCAGCGGGTTCAAGGGAAAGATCTTTCATCAAATTGATGTGGGTATTACGGCTTCTGTTCTGGAGCCACTTCTTACACCATTTCCTCTTCGATTTTTTGCTTTTAATATGTAAATATTAAACCGGACCGCGGTAGCCGAGTGGTTAGCATGAGAGACTCTCACGTCGCGGTCGTGGGTTCGATTCCCACCGTCGCCTCTGGCCCTTTTTTCCCGATAACCCCCAATTTGAACAGCATATATAAGAATTCGTCATGGTTAATATGCAAAGATCATAAGGCCAAAAAAAAATATATATATAAATAAACAGAAGAGTAGCACAAGAGATCGTCATACATTTTGAGAAGGTAATTCACTGGTTGACGTTCGGAGCGACTGGAGCCCCCTCAAATTTCAGGCACTCCAAATGGAGCTGTACGGCTTGGCGCGGTTCCATTTGGAGTGATCGTGAATGGCCACCTTTACTATCCATTATAGTCCCAGCGCGTCGTAAGTTTAGTTTTTCCATCAGGTAATACATTTCTACAACCGAGAACTTATTCTTAATCTTTTGTTCCATGACCAGTTTATCGGTCTCCGCGTTGCTGCTCTGCTTTGCATGCCTATGGTAATTGTACATTAGTGATAATGGATCATTAAAAATGAACGTGCATTTTCGTCTTGTTTGCGAAAATTTTTCAAAAGCTTTAGACAAGAAATTCAGGAACTCATAAAACTTCATATTTTAAAATATTTTGATTTTATTTAGTTAAGCTTAAAATAAAAAATTGAATCTCAAAGGATTTTCAATGCTCCTTCTATTTCTGCAATCAAATTTACGGTATGATTAATATTTTAGAAGATACGAGATACTTTATGGAATAAAGACGTGAAGGATTGAAGTAGGCTGAAAACTGAAATATCTCGAATAAAATTTGCAATTGGACTATAGGTATTTTTTGGTCCAATTGACATGCAGGATAACCTCCTGAAATACTGGCATGTGTTCTGTTTTTTAAACGAACATCTTTCTCCAGGAGGCTTCAATTTTTGGGCGTACACTGTGTATAATAGTTGATAATACAAGTAGATTTTATATACCAGATTGTAATTTATTTTTCATTTTACCGATCAAATGCATGTGAGCATAAAACGTAAAAATGACTTCTTTGATCTTTCTTGCTTTACAATTTATCATTTATAATTTACCTAATTGCATTTATGTACTTTCAAATTTACAAAAATTGTAGTTTATTTTGTAAGAATTGTAGTCAGGATTTGTTAGTTTGTGCTGACAAATTCAGAACAAGAATCATGATTAATGGTTGGATAGGCTGCAAAAGCTCATGTCCAAAACTTAGGATTATCGATCATCCTGTCAGCCAGCCCTCATGGCTGGTTCATCTGAACAATTCCCTCTCTTGTCCTAACATCTCAATATCATGTCTGACCGCTTTTGTTAAGCGCTAACAGAAGAAATGTCACTTTTATAATTTAAGGCATTCGTTCTAAAAAAAAAAGTCATATAGAAAGCTTCTTTCTGCTTAAGCTTACTCACCTGAGTACCTGACGAGAGTCTTTCTCGTGTTGGCGCTAGTGTCAGTACCACCAATTTTAGGCAAAGATTCCAAAAAATCGATCGCCTGACGGATCTCCTTGCTGTACAATTGGAAAAGGACTAGTTTCACCATGGCAAAGTAGAGAGTGAACACCAAAACCGATCCTTTCACGAGTTCAATGAAGGCTTTGCTAGAAGCAGACTTTTGGAACGTAGAATTAGTAAAACAATAAAATAAATATCCAAGGGGGTTATGAAAATTAAATTCGTACCTGACCCTTCTGAATAACATCGATGGTTAGTAATGTCGCCCCGATACCCAGATTGACTATCGGATACCATTCGTAAAACACCTGAAACCAATTCTTTTCTCCCCAGTAAAAAAGTCCTAGAATTTGTTTTCTAAATAAATTTCCCTTGATATAAAACGAACAATAAATATATGAAACAATTTACCTAATAGTTTAAATGCTGCTTTGTGATAAGTGAAACCTGTCTTTCTATCATCGTTAGCTATGTAGCTCGCTACTTTCCACATCATGATGCTATGTTATACTGATAAAACTCGACTGCTCGCTCATAGTCTATCGGAAATGTAATTTAATAATTCCACACCGCTGTACAATTACAGGTCATACAACCGACTCTGCACTGAAATTAAACCTTTAATTAGTTCTTCCGAAGGATTTAGTGTCCAAATTATTAAACGTACTTCGATCTCTAGCGATTCAGGTGTTCAAGATTCATATCCAACTGTGCATTTAATTACCTCAGACTACGTAATTAGATAGTAAATAGTTAACATATTAAGTTTCTAACTTGTATTGTATTATTACGGATTTTAACTAAATTTGTTTGATGGCACGATACCGAAACATATTGTAATAATTTTCCATTGCCGGTGAGCCTTAGGAATAGAGAATTTTAAAAAAATACGTTTTCCTGCCTTAGTTCTGCATATATTTCAGGGTATATATGGTATATATGTGTTATTACGCAAAATAGATTGTATTCAATGATTGTGGATAATAAAAAGTTGCACAAACCAAAATTTGTTTTGAATAAAGATGGCTAAAAACAATCCGGATTCGTTTTGAGCAACTTCTAAAACCATCAAGTTAATAATTAATTGTTAGTGCATAAAATTTTCTTTTTGGGTGGACTTACCGGTCTAATTACATTTGACTTCCCAATCTCAGTGTTCTACGTAAACAAAATAAATGGTATTATTCTGGATTTTATCCAAATTGATTATAACCGTTAAAAATCAGAATGTTTTCTTTCAAGAAATATCGATTATCCTTGACTTATGTCAATACAAGTGAGGAAAATAACGATAAAATCAACATAAACTCTTCCAACATTTTATAAATAAAAATTTTCAGCACAATAAAAATTTTTTTGGTTGGATTCGATACACACATTATATACGTATTATAATCGTGTCGAAATAAATGTTTAAACTTAACAGTTTACTTGTTTCATTGGAATTTTGAGAAAATGGGGAAAAATAACCAAATAAAATGGGTAGAAGAAACGTGATTAATATATCGTTGAATTTGGCTAAAATCCAAAGGCGTTATCAATTTTTATGAGCGACACTGGACATCGGAAGAAATACAAATTGCAATAAGAATACGTTCAAAAAATATCTTTTAATGCCGTGAAAATTCGTATTTAAAAATTGTAAAATATACTTAAATCGAATCCGAATTATTGTTTTTAGCAGACTTGTTTTCTTAACATAGAACCCTAGATAAAAAAATAATAAAAAAATTGAAGACGATGTTTCGTTCTTCACAATTACACAGAAGAAAACACTTTGAGCCCTGAAGACGATCTCAATAAAGATCGAAACGTTGGCACGATAAAGAAAATGTTTTTCTGAAACCTACATCACACCAGACGGCATCTCACGATTTCTGAATAATTATCGATTAACCGTCACTAATCACCACACATTTAAAAAAAAAATGTTCATTGGCAAAAATCGCTCTGACACGAGTCTAATAGCTTTTCGATTTAGTATCACCCAAAAAAGGTTGTTTATGTGTAATATCTATCCAGGCTTCCTTAGGTTGTCTTCTGTTTCTCTCATATGGCATTCACAGTAGATATTTTATCTCTGAATTAAGAAGTGAATGTTGTCGAAACACCATATTGTTGCTTTTTTCAACCAATGTTGACACTCACGGTATTGAGTCATTTTCCGTTGTAAGCCACTGCCTTTTTTTCAACTGCCTAGGGCGATTTTGGCACAATGTGTTGCTTTTTATATGTACTCGTTTCATTTTTGCTATTGATCAAATATTTAAGAAAAAGCCTTATTTGACATAGGTTTTAGTTGAGTGTTCTTCTTTTGAAAAGGTTATTATTTGTTTTTCGACGTTTAATAACAATCTTAGTATCTTTTGTGTAGAAACGAGGCGAATTTTTGACAGACTAAACCAATCGGAAACAAAACTACTAACAGTAGAAACAAAGTGTGTTTTTTTAATTCTAGTCCAAAGATATTAACCGAACAATTTGACCGGTGTGCACTAAGATATCATAAGAGGCAAATTGTTTTGGCAATTTTCTTCCTAATTTTCCCGAACCAGTAGGCATTGAGAAAGTGAATCCTGTGGGTTGGGTTTTCGGCTGTGGCGTCCCTCGCCCCCCACGGGAAATCACTGAGACCGCGACTGAACGACCGGCTCAATTAGCAGGATGGGAAATGAGCAGGGAAAGAGCCGGCCGACTCCCGGATCTTTGCTGATTAGCAAGAACCGGAGCAAACCAGCCTCTCCATATATATATACCCGGACGTTTATTCGATTAGCTCCCTCCTACATCCAAGGATTGGCCTCTCCCAATCCCAAAGGACGTCAAGGGCCGGATCAACTTCCTGTAGCAATTGATTTATTTCGGAAAAATAACATTTCAGCGTGAGTCACAACCTTTAGCCAATTCGTCTCACTAGTTATATAAACATCCGCTCAGTGAAGCTACTTCTCACAAAAACTGCAAGACGGAATTAATAGCTAACTGGAAACGGTTTGGGATACAATGAACAATACCAGGGCATAGTGGATTGAAACAATTCATAGAAAATCAATATTGGCGCGTTAAATTATACACTTTGTATTGTGTTTAATGAACTTCGTTATAAACATTTCAAGATAATAATGCCTTAAAATTGAAACATATGACCTATGATATAATTTATTTAGCTTAATACAAAGTATGCTCTTTAACTCAAATTTGTTAAAAATATATTTCAAATTAGTAACTTCATTTAGTCATGCTGAACCTGCATTGAGTCATTAATTGGTGGGTCTGTCTTCACTCACGGATTTGTTGGACTACTCAAATCTGCGAGTGAAGACGGACCCAATTAATCATCCGATGTCTTCATATGCCATGTAGCCAATTACCATGAGTTTCTGCACAAAAGCTGAATTTTCATTCGTCAAAATGGATTCGAAGAGTCACATTTAATTCATACCGAGTCATTAATTGGTGGGTCTGTCTTCACTCACGGGTTTGTTGAACTACTCAAATCAGCGAGTGAAGACGGACGCAGTGCGGGTTAGCACGACTTCAACGTGTCGCTGACATATGCCCAGCATCATCTATAAATTTATATAGTATTAAAACCTACCTATGTGAAATCCTAAAGATAAATTCATTTTGTAAATATATAATTTTAGTGATTCTTTCGAAGAATAGATTTGTAAAGACAAAAAATGAACGAATTTTTACAATAATATATAGATTCTTTTTATACTTATAAAAAAGGGATGCCGATTTGCAAAGCCTTCAATATAATTCTTTGAGAAGGAAGAACCAATCGATTTCAGTCCTTCCCATCAGTTCTTACTAAAATGGAAAGAGAAAGGACCCCCATCAGCATCCCATTTCACTACAGTCCACTCTGCTTACTTTGTTAAATTCAGCAGACATCTAGTGAATGGTTTATATCCTTCAGGAGTTATGTTTAAAATAAAATAAACAATACCAAGAAAAATTTTAATAAATTAACTGGTAAAACATAACGATTAACGAAAATTTTATTTGTAAATTTATATATGAGCGCATTAATGTTGAGAGAAAATTATATGCTTTATAGATATGAACACTTGAAAGAGTGGTAATGAAGGCTTACCTTCAAAGAAGTTAATGGAATTAAACAATTAGACAGCTAAAACAGCATCATCGTTAAAGCAATTCCAAAATATTTTTATCCTGCAAAAAAATAATTATAATATATTAACTTACGGTTTCTTATTTCAGGATTGTTTAATTTTCTATAAAACAATGTTTTTATCTATTTTTGTTTTAGCTGTCCCGCCGTTTAAAACGATAATAAACATACAAACGAATTACAATTAATTAAGTTTTTTAGTAGAGATAAAAAAGTCAATGGCACGAGCGGGATTCGAACCCACGATCTTCGGCTTGATACGTGCAGTTGAGAAGGGAAGTTGGTGTCCGAGTGGATCGAGGTCACGATAGCTCAGGTGGTAGAGCAACGGCGTATCAAGCCGAAGATCGTGGGTTCGAATCCCGCTCGTGCCATTGACTTTTTTATCTCTACTAAAAACCTTAATTAATTGTCATATATTAATTGGTCAAGCGGACCACGAAATTAGTGAATACAAACGAATAAACAAACTGCTGGGGAAGAAAATACACAACAAAATACATATTAGAACTGTTTTGAAATAAATTTTTAAACTTAACACTTTGCCTTTTTCATTTGGTTTGGTAATTACGTAGCTACAGAAACTTAATGTTTGTTTTTCTCTATAAAATTGATGGTATAAAAAATATAGTGGATATTGGAGTATTTTTATCTTAAGTAGAGATGAGGTAAGAAAAAAGTGATTGATAATAAAAAGAAGCACATTGCGATCTACGAAATCTAGAAGTCACAAAAGCTCAAGTGGTTAGAGCAGCGGCATATTGAGCCGTAAATATACTGGGTTCGAATCCCGCACGTGACACTAGCTTTTTCATCTTAACCCAAACCTTAGATAAAACGTATAATTCATTGCAATAATAAGTAGGTCAATTTCGACTTCTAAATAAACATATGGATGGAAAAAGAATGTGAAGTGAAGAAAGGGTGGCAGAAGAAACAGAAAAGTGAAAAAGTATTTAAGTATTTTAAGGAAAGCGGTATGATATCTCATCAATAACCTTTGGGATACCACAATCAATTGATTAAGGAAGCATTGAACAATAAAAATTCAAATACGAGACTAGAAAAATGCTCCCAAAGTGGGAAAACTGTGTTAGAAGTTTAAGAACAAACTATTAAACCGTAAAGGAGTAACATTCTAGCAGTACCACATTGTTCTATGAGAAACTGAACGCTTGTGAGGAAAGTTATTTAACATGCTGGAGGTGCATGGATGTAGTATAAACTCACACGAAATTCCATGATGTATTACAATTGAGAAATTAAAAAATGTCAGAAAGTGATCAAAAATCTAACGAAAAAATATATGTTCCAAACGTAAAGGAACATTGGGCTAGGATATCATCTAATACGATCGTGAGATCAAAATTCTTTAAGCCCTGATGACCTCCGATACC